GTGATCTGAAACGATTCGAATCGTTGCATCCATTAGTAATATGTTTTCACACATATCTGAACACATATTAATAATAGATATAACTATTGTAATTAGTGTATTAGTTCATGAAAAAATAGCTTTACATAAAAAAGGTACCTCTATATGAATGGTTGTAATGTTTGAAGAAGATGCACTCGTTCTTGAAATTTATAGACTAATTAATGTTTTGGAACACAATATTATTGCTAGATATAGTTTTCAAGGGTTTGTTGTATTTTTGGGGTAATTTGCAATAGAACCCCACTAGCAAACTTTGAGAAGTGAGTGCAAATAAAACCTTAAAAAAAAGTATTCTTATATGCTTCAAACCCTCTTATTTTCTATATTCTTTTCATCCTATACCTTCAAAGTCTTCAATAAAGACTACAACACGATGCATGTAACTTATAAGAGGGTTTGACACAATAGAACAAACCTCCCAAAGGCGAAGCTTAGAGTAGTTGATGACAAAATATGCCCTGACAAATTTGGTTTGGTTTTCAGGTGGATAGACAGGCTCAATCTCCCGGACGATGCATCCTTGAGAGTGAAGAATGCGACGGTGGTCGTCAGGGACATCCGGCAACACGACGACCATGAGAGGGTAACGCGTGTTGGCCTTGCGGAGGCCCTTGGCAAGGCCTACTACGCCTTTGATGTAATCTCCGTTGCCTGCAAGAAAGGTCACGAATGCCCTCTTGCCCGCACCCTTGTTCATTGTTTGCTAGTGATTGGAAGAAGAAATATTACTAATAAAAGAGCAAATATTGAGTATAGTTATAGAAAGAAATAAGAGAAGGACAAGTAGTTCTAGTACTATTACTATTACTATTGAATATAAAGTCTTTGGAACGTTTTGATAGCATACGATCGAGGAGAGGGAGTGCTTCTATTTATAATTTGGGCATCCAAGGACGGCGTATGAGACTTTTTCTTTTTTGGGAAGCAGATGTTGTGTTTTTTGTATATATTAATTTTGTAACGTGCTCTACACTTATTGTCGTGTTGGAGACACCTGAAGAGTTTATTATTTATTAAATAATGAGAAATTCATTTAAACAACCGTTTAAGGATTTTCATATTTTTTTAAAAAGAAATATGGGTAAAGATAGCAATTGACAAAAAAATTAAGAAGTAACACATTTAAAAAAATATTTTAACCAACTAAAAACAAATAGGAACACTTGTAAAAAAAAAAAAAAGTTACTCTCGTAAGAGTAAAGTGATGAACAATATATTTTTAAAAAATAAATAAAAAAATTCAAAAAAAAATAAAAAGAAAAAAAAAGTAAGCGGAGGGACTGCCCACGTAAAAAAGAACGGGACTGCCCACATAAAAAAGAATTTTGGCTTTTTTATATATTTTTAGATTGTTAGATTAGATGTATAGAGAAAAAAAAAGGCAATTGGAGAGAGAGAGAGAGAGAGAGGAAAAATTAAAAAGTCAAAAAATAGAAAAGGAAAAAAAGAGAGAAAGTAAAAAAAAAAAAAAAAAAACAGAAAAGAAAGAAGAAGGAGGCTAACATGTGACCTCTATATAAGCTAAGAAAACAAAATTAAAAAAAAGGCAATAAGCAAAACAAAAAAAAGAGGGAGAAGAAAAATTAAAAAAAAATAAAAAAAATGGAAAAAGAAAAAAGAGATAAAGTCAACAAAAAAAAGAAAAAAAAAGGAGGCCAAGTTTAATTTGCAAGTTGTATTTGATTGATTGCGGACGTGAAAAAGATCGATTGTGGTTTCTGAATTTGCAAGTTTCAGTGTATTTGATTGATTGTGGACGTGGAAGAGATTGATTGTGGATGCGCCACTACAAGAAAATTAACTTTCTGCTACCAATAAATTTGCGACATATTTTGGTAACAGAAAGTGGTTTTCTACCAAATTTTGGTCGTTAGTAACGAATGTTGGTCACCCCGTTTCTATTAAGACTTACTGTAATAGATTTGTTGGATAATGTTGGCGGTGTTTTTTCGTTTTCTTTCTTTTGATTTATGTGTCTTTTGGTATATATGAGTTTGCTGAAGTTTGTGTATTGCTTCTTGGTAGCATGCAGTAACTGTGATTGGGAATAAGATGATTGGAAAATGTTTCTTTGTTCTTGAATTGTGTTAAAGTTGGCGTGAGTATGGATTCCCCTCTAAGACGAAGCTAAAAAACCTTTAAAATTTGCTTAGGGGACTATTCTCAATTGTTCTCTTTTCACCCTGCCATAACTCTTCATCTTTTGTACTTCTTTCTACTTTCTATGTTTAATTCACTTGCAGACGAACCGGGCGTTCTCCTAGATCCAAACGCGTGATGATTAAACTCTACTCTTGGAGGGGCATCGAAGAAGAAAAACCCAATTTGGTTGCAAGATCCTTTTACGACCAATAATATTTGGTCGCAGACTCAATGTGAGACCAAGAAGTGGTCGCAGAAAACCAAATTATTAGCGACTAAAATCTTTTTGCCACCAAACTTTTGGTCGTGAATTCTTATTGCATGGACAACCAAACTTGAGGTCTTTTTGCGACGTAAATACTTTCTGCGATAGGGTTTCTACGACCAAATTCTTTACTTTTGGTGACCAATTTTTTGGTCGCTAAAAACCTTTTTTCTTGTAGTGACATGAAACTTTCTCAGCTTGTGCCATATTATAATGAATATTACTAATAAAAGAAAAAAAATTTAGAAAAGTAGTTATATAGAAACTTCTTCCTTAAAAATTTTAATTGTGCAAAATAATATTTAATTGAGAACTTTGCAGAACTTATTTGCCTCCTAGAGTTTAGGGTGTAAAATGAGGATTTAATAGAAATATTTATAGACTTTAGTGGTAAAAACTAAAAAGTGAAATATTTCCCTTACTTTTGTGGAGAACTTCAATAGCTTTAGGAACATGGCCAGTATAATTGCAATATAATAGTCAGCAAAAGAACTCAAAGGTGTCTTCTCCTCCTGTTTAGGATTTTCTTGGTGATGCGGTTTAATGTCTCTTTTGCCTTGGTCTAACTTATACATAACCATTACGAAGGTCAAGCTTTTCACATCCGCATCTGAGCTATGGGGATCCGATCGGAGAATAGAGGTGCAAAGATCATAATTTGGGGTTTGCTTGCATGTTTGTACGATGAAATTTTTGGCATCCATCGGTAAGAAAACCTAGACTGGATTGGGGTCGGAACAACATTGTGTAAAGAGCAAAAAGAAGCAAAAGTAGTAATGATTTTGTTATGGTCATGACCAATTGGTCTTCATCATTGTATGAGATGAAAAAGGGCTTTAAAAATTGCAATATAGTTCATTTATTTTGATTATTATGTTGGAAAAGAGAATATTGGTGTTATTTATTCTTGAGTTTTTAGGTGTTTTAAAGAGAATGTCAAAGAATCGTGATATTATCTTATGCATCAAATTCATAAGAGAGAGAGAGAGAGAGAGAGAGATTAAAAGCACTCCTCATGCAAACAAGAGTGACAAAGGAGGGTCACAATATTGAAGTTGATAGATATATTCCAATTTATAGGATGAACTTGGAAATTCAAACAAAATAAAAGGTGCAAACTTTTGATTCTTCATTCCAACATAGGTTGTTACAGACTCAACATGTAATTGCTGTCTTTTTTTTTTTCATCAAACGGAACAACTAAAACCACACATGAGCAGAGTAGAGCAAACTTTTGATTCTTCATTCCAACATAGGTTGTTACAGACTCAACATGTAATTGCTGTCTTTTTTTTTTCATCAAACGGAACAACTAAAACCACACATGAGCAGAGTAGTACTAATCCTTATTCTTCACTCGAATGTAAGTTGGCATGCACGAAAAGCCAATAGTATACCATGCTAATAGTTTATTGGTGTCAATCTCTGTAGTCATTAGTTATTATATATATGTGATTAAAATGATAAATATTGACTCATGATCTGAGATTCTGAAGGGTTTACATGATCAAGTTGGTGAGCATTTATATTTGACTTTTTTTTATGGACACACCCTTAAACTTTCTTAATTTAGCAATTTAGTCCTTATTCTTTTATTCATGATAATTGACCCCTTCAACTTAAAAATCTTTGCAATTAAGGTTCAATCGAAAATGACATCTGTTTTTTAATGATTGTGATCACGTGATGCGCATGTAAGTGTCTATTGAGAGCAATAAAGGTCATTCTCACCCTTAAAATCTTTAGATGACTTTGAAATCAATATAACTGAATAAATAAGGTGAGAAATGACTTTCATTGCCTTTAACAAATGCTCATACTGCAACGCCGTTTTCGATTGAAACTTAATTGCAAAGATTTAACAGTTAAAGGGGTTAGTTGCTAGGAGAAAAAAAAGAATTAAATTTTTAAATTCAAAAGGTTGAAGGGGGTGTCCATAAAAAAAAAATAAAAAAATAAAAACTGTTATATTTTAAGCGGCAGATGGCCACCGCATTGATCCTCATCCTACACAATCTTCTTAGTACTATTGTCGAAGTCCAAGGATTCGTCCTCATAAATGTCCCACCACTTCTTCACAAACATCTTTATTTCTTCTCTCTCCATATTCTGTTCCTGTCCTGTGTACCTCCATGGCTTTGCTCCCTATATATATATATATATTATATCATTTGCTAATGGATGAGCTAATAGAATGCAAAAACCTTAATTAAGCAAACATATTTGGCTTGATACATAATTCTAAAATGTCTTAATTTCATCAAATTTTGTTAAATGATCTATATATTCTCTTTTGTTTAGATCTAATTTTGTTAATTAATGATTTATAATTTCTTTTTTGTTTCGATCTAATTTTCATGTCATGAGATGAGATCCCTACCATATAGAAGTTCCTAAATGTTTTTTTTTTTTTTTTTTTTTGGGTTCACGTACCTCAGCACTATAGTGGACAACCTTGACTTTGTCAATTTCCACATTCTCAGGGTGAAGCCACAGCATGGCCAAAAGGAGGTTGTAAACATTTGGAATAGGCTTGTACCAAAAACCTTAATTAAGCAAACATATTTGGCTTGATACATAATTCTAAAATGTCTTAATTTCATCAAATTTTGTTAAATGATCTATATATTCTCTTTTGTTTAGATCTAATTTTGTTAATTAATGATTTATAATTTCTTTTTTGTTTCGATCTAATTTTCATGTCATGAGATGAGATCCCTACCATATAGAAGTTCCTAAATGTTTTTTTTTTTTTTTTTTTTTGGGTTCACGTACCTCAGCACTATAGTGGACAACCTGGACTTTGTCAATTTCAACATTCTCAGGGTGAAGCCACAGCATGGCCAAAAGGAGGTTGTAAACATTTGGAATAGGCTTGTACACATCCTTGAAGAACATGTTCAGAAAGTCCTACACATAAATATGTGCACCACATAATTAATTAAAGGTAAAACAAATTGTAACATTCACATATTAAAATTCATTTTATATTACAATTATTTATTTTTAATTTGCGTACTAGAAAGGGATTAATTGCTAAACGTAGAAAATGACTTAATTACTTGCTCGGCAAAGGTAGTGGGAGTCGTGACTTTGAGGGCCTCCAAGAGGTTAGAGTAAGTGACAAGGTTAGGCTCGAAAACGAACATGCCGGCATTGAAGTACAACGGTGGCGGCGACCCCATCCCAGCGGGCCACTTCACTTTCTCAGGGCGCTGCTGGCAGTAGCCAATCTTGTTTTGAGGAGAGTTACTCCATACGGACTTATCACAAAAGCAATCCATCACCGCATAAAAGTAGCCATTTGGCAAGTCAAATAGGTGATCAATGTTGTCAAACACTTGTATGTCTGCGTCCAAGTATATCATCTTTTCATACTCTTCAAACTACAAATAATGTTTGAAACAGTAATCAAATCAATATAAAACACGCATAGAGTCAAATAATAATTTAGTTGTAGCTTATTTTTTATTATGGACATATAAGAAATAACCTATAATATATATATATATATATAGATGCACACATATCTCTCTGAATAAAAACAGAATTTTGTCTAAAATGATGGAAAAGATTGGGAATATGTCAGCCACTTGTCGTGGAACTTGACTATGTCTTTAGATGCGGATGAAGTCACAGGGCCAGGTCGTTTGCCCTCCCATCAGTGGTCTCAGGGGTCCCGAACCCCCTGGCTCATGATTCTGAGGCGTGAGAACACCACTGAACCCCATTTTTCATTAAAAAATAAAATAAATAAACTTATAATGGATAAAAGCGGAATATATCTCTAAACTATATGATCAAAGGACAAAATAAAATAAATAAATAAATAAAGTTTTTTAGAGTCTAATATGATGGGTGTGGGAAAAGCATGCAATTACTGATATTCATATTACTAACATAAAAACTATATCACTATGCATGTAAGAGGGTATGACACAATAAAACTAACCTCCCAAATGCGAAGCTTAGAGTAGTTGATGACAAAATATGCCCTGACAAATTTGGTTTGGTTTTCAGGCGGATAGACAGGCTCAATCTCCCGGACGATGCATCCTTGGGAGCGAAGAATGCGACGGTGGTCGTCGGGGACATCCGGCAACACGACGACCACGAGAGGGTAACGCGTGTTGGCCTTGCGGAGGCCCTTGGCAAGGCCTACCACGCCTTTGATGTAGTCTCCGTTGCCTGCAAGAAAGGTCACGAATGCCCTCTTGGCCACATCCATGCTCATTGTTTCCTAGAGATAATTAGAAGAAGAACAAATATTACTATTGAATAATAATATTATATACAAAGAAATATGAGGAGCGCAAGTAGTACTAATTCTATTACTATTGAATAAAGTCTTTGGAATGTTTTTTCTTTTTATTTTTGAAAAAAAGTCTTTGGAAGGTTTTGATAGCATACGAGGAGAGGGGGCGGCTCCATTTATAGGACATGAACGTTTATCCATATTTATACATCTATATATCCTTATCCTTAATCCTTAATCCTTAATTATATAAAAAAGCAAAAGTTGCTCTTCACTGTAGAGTTTCGCCGTTCATTACGCACCATTTAGTACTTTGCATCTTTTTTTTCCCCCTTCCTTTTTCGCTTTGCATGCATTTTGCTTATTTTTCGTTTCTTTTTCTTTCCAACTCCTGACCTTTTCAATTTCTTTTTAAAAAAAAAAAAAAAAAAAAAAACTTTTTTTTCTTTCTTTCATTTTCTTTTTCTTTTCCTTTATTTTTGACTCCATTTATCTACATTATACTTTTGTACAAATACCAAGCCCTATCTTTTTTCGTTTTTGTTCCTCTTTTATTTTCTATTTATTCATGCCCTCAAATTTTAACTTTCTCATTGAAATAATCTCTTTACTTGTGATCAATTCTAATTTTGATTTCGGTTAGTTTATTAATGGTCAATTTAGCTAATAAACTGTGTATTCCATAAATCTCGAGATAGTTACACAAAGCAAATATTAGTAAGTCAAAATAAAAAAAAATAAAAAAAAGCATATTTTTATAAGTTATTTGTGTAAATAACCCTTTTTCTTTTTAAGGATAGTTACACCTCTAAAGAAAATATTAGTGTGCAAAATAAAAGAAATGCATGTCTTTATAAGCTATTTGTGAAATAGTCCTCTTTGCTCGTATCCTAAATCTTAATCTTAATTCTAAATCTAAATCCTAAATCATATAAAAGAATATATTTGTAGCTACTGCTCATTTTATGGTAGTTCAAAACGGAAAACAGTGAATTTTAGGTGCTTTATTTTTTTTTTCTTTTCTTTTTGTTACATGTGGCTCTTGTTTATTTCATGGTAGTCGAAAAAGGTGAATTAGGCTTTTATTTTCTTTCCAAGTTTTTACTTTTTATTTTTTCATTATATTATCTTATAGTTTATAATTTTTTTTTTATGATCAGTATCCTTTACTTTTTTCTTAAACTACTATTAATGAATACTCTTTTTTAATTTTTAAGTAGATTCCTTTTTTTTTTCTTCGTCCTACTGTTTGTATTTTATGTTATAAAATTTTTTTAATCATAAGTCAATACGTATATAGAACATTTCTAAACTGGTGCATACTTAAGAGCCAAAAGTGTTTACTCCTCCCTCCTCTTTAACATTTTTTATGTTTTTATGTTTTTTAATATTTGCGTTTTTATTTTATTTTCGTTTTTTTAATGTATGTTTTTTTTTTTTTTTTCCTTTTTGTCAAATGTTTCTTTATTTTATTTTTTACAATGTACTTAAAAATACTTTTTTCCTGGCTTTGTTTGTATTAAAATGAGGGAATTTTTACCATAAGACCTGTTCTATTCTTTTTAACTATTAGAGGGTACAATTGCTCTAAGTATTAGATTAAATTTTTTGATATGTGATTGTAGCATTCTGTATTGCACACTTTAAAATTTTCATGTGAACACTTACAGGATAAACCGTGGTTAAAACAAAAACTCTACTGATAGTTACGTATAAAGGATAGATTCTATAGTGATTCTCTTAAAATAATTTCTTACGTGATCCTCTTTTCGTTCAACTCATGAAAAAAAAAATTTCTCTGCCACTACTTGATGCTAATATAGTTTAATCTTTTTACTATGTTCTTTAAATTTTTTGTCTCACTTTCCTCCTATAAAAAAAATTTTCTTTATATATATCTTTATATTATTTTTTTTCTTTTTTCCTTTTTCTCAAAAGTTGATGTATAGTTTAATTGTTTTCCTTTTCTTATTTCTTATTTCTTCTTTTTCTTTTTCGTTTATAACCTTATATTTCTATTTTATTTTTCCTTTTACGTTATATATTGCTTTCACAATTGGCGCCTCCTTTTTTCCTTTTACTTTGCTTTCTTTTACCTCCTTGATTTCCCCTTTTCTTCTTTTCAGTTTATTTTCCTTTTTTTCACTTTTTCTTTTTCTTTGTTTTTTTCCTTTTTTGATTAAATTCTTTTTTTCCTTTTTTGATTAAATTCCCTTTTTCCTTTTTTTTCTGTCTTTCCCCTTCTTTTTCATTCTTACCTTTTTTTTTTCCTACTATACATTATTTTTATCCTTTATGTTTCTTCAAATCTTGTCTTCATAAATATCTTTTTTATATATTTCTATTAAAAAATTTCTTCTCATATATATATATATAAACTTTATATATACCAAGAGCATATTTATTTGACCGTATTAGAACATTGTATTGTATAATAATACAATAGTAAAATATTTGGTTTGACTATCACATTGTATAAACTAATACATATGGTAAATTAATATATTGAATACAGTTTATTTTTAGCGTATTGTATTGTATTATTTTATAGTGTATCAAGATTCATATCGAGATTGGTCATGTCTAGAGGTCAGGGTTGGGTGACATAGGGTCATGCGGGAGCCTATAACTGTTGAAAAATTTAGGGGCACAATATAAATTTTATATTTATTAAATTTATATTTTGACCACAAAAATTTTATAAAATTACATTTTGACCCCAAAACTTTTATAAAGCTACACTTTGACCCCTGAAATTTTTATAAAAATTTCATTTTGACCTCAAAACTTTTGAAAAATTACATTTTAACCCTACATTTTTTTAAAAATTGCATTTTGACCTTAAAATTATTAAAATTTTACATTTTAACCCCTTATACAATACGTCATGACACCAAACACCGTATTATATTATGATAATACGGCACAATACAACACAATACAATACACGTTATACAATACAATACAATACAAGCTACCAAACATGGCCTCAATGGATTCTCCTCACATCAATATATATAACTTTTGGTCCGTGGTCCTTTTTTTCTTTTTTTTTTACTTTCTTTTTGTTCATTTTTTTTCTCCCCCAATACAATACAAGCTACCAAACATGGCCTAAATGGATTCTCCTCACATCAATATATATAACTTTTCGCCCGTGTTCCTTTTTTTCTTTTTTTTTTTTTACTTTCTTTTTGTTCATTTTTTTCTCCCCCTCTTTTTTATTATTTTCAGGAAATGACCCTTTTAAATAAATTTTAAAAATGTGTAGTCTACTTTGAAGTTAAGTCCATTAATTAAAGTAAAAGAAAAAAAAAGATATTTTGAAAAATCATATAAAAAAATTGAAGTTATATATGTATTTAAAAATAAAAATAAAAAGAAAAAAAATAAAAAAATAAAAAACTATAAGGTTGTTCGTTTCTCCCTCAAACTCAAAAAAAGTCCAACTCAAGTTAAAACATGAATCCAAGTTTCTATTCGGTTGGGTGAAACTCAAACTAAAACTTGAATCTTAATTTAAGTAAACTACTGGGAGCGAAGAAAAAAGAAGAAGAAGAAGCCAACATGTAGTTTAGCCTCCTTATGAGTCAATTTAATTTGATTGTATACTTTTGATGTTAGATTGAATGTATAGATAGTTGTTAAAAGATTAAACTATAAAAGAACAGCCTAACTCAAGTTAAAACATGAATCCAAGTTTTATTCAGTTGAGTGAAACTCAAACTAAAACTTGAATCTTAATTCAAGTAAACTACTGGGAGCGAAGGAAAAAGAAGAAGAAGCCAACATGTGGTTTAGCATCCTTAGGAGTCAATTTCATTTGATTGTATACTTTAGATGTTAGATTAAATGTATAGATAGTTGTTAAAAGATTAAACTATAAAAGAACACTTGGTAAAATAAAAAAAAAAAACAAAGAAAATTAGAAAAGAGCAAAACACATGTAAAAAAATAAAATTAATAAACTATAAAAGAACACTTGGTAAAATAAAAAAAAAAAACAAAGAAAATTAGAAAAGAGCAAAACACGTGTAAAAAAATAAAATTAGAAAATGAAGATAAAAAAGGTAAAAAGGAAAAAAAATATGTCGGAGGGGCTACCACGTGACGGCCTGAGAAGTGTTCTATATAAGCACTCTACAATATATATATATATATATATGTGTGTGTGTGTGTGTCTGTGTAAAAATAACTTTTGATATGAAATAAATTATACAGAAAATAATTAAGTAGAGACGTACAATTTAAGCCTCTTAAATTTGGCCACAAGAGTCGGTTATTGAATAGTCTTTTAGACATTTGAGGAAGATTATTTTAAGTATTGATAAAAAGAATAAATAGAATGCATGAAAAAAATCACTTTCATAAGAGTAGGGAAAAAATATATTTTTTTTTTTAAAAACAAGCAATAATTTAAACTGAAAAAAACATTCATAAATTTAAAAAAAAAAAAACAAAACATTAAAAAAAAGAAAGATAAAAGAAAAGGTGAAAAAGGATTATAAAAAGCAAAAGAAAGAGAAGGGAGGGAGGCTGCCACGTGGTTTGTTGGGAGAAAGTGCACTTGACATTTTATATATTGTTAGAAGAGTTTTCCGGGTAGGCTGAGAAAAATAAATTATTGATAGTTTTTTATTTTTTAATTATTAAATTTGTATTAAAAATTATTTATTTTACATATTTTTTCATTCTAATTCGATTTTGACCAGATTCAACGGTCAGAAAATTGGTCTTACATGTAAGACGGCTTATCAGAGAAACTTCCATTTGGTAAATTGTTAGATTAGATTAGACTAGAGACCGTTATTCTAAATCAACGGTTTGCGTGAAATACATTCAAGTTTAAATTAGTGTTTGATTACAAAAGTAAATAGGAGATTTAACTCCAAATTCCCATTAGATTCTTAAAGTTTGAATCAGGTCTAAACCCCACAATTCAGAACTAACATAATTTAAATTTAAGAATTAAACCCCACAATTCAGAACTCACATAATTTAAATCTAAGATTTAAACTCACCCTGATTTAAATTCTTTTATCAAAGAGGGGTATATGACTATATGCTATGTAACGTACCCTTCTTGGCTCTTCCCACTTGCAAGTTGCAAAACATGCCCTGTGGAAAATCAGTCTCTCTCCAAAGAGCCACCTTGACCTTTTTCAAGGATTCAATTCAATCATTCAATACCTTTTTTTCCCTTTCTTTTTCCTTTTTTTAAAGAAAATGGCAAAGGATTTTAGTACATCTGCCTTGGGCCGTCCTCTCTTAAATTTTTTTCTTTTCTTATCTGTCACTGGGTTTTTAGGGCCATCGGAATAACGTATTAAAAAAGTGATCCTCCTGGTCCATCACCATTTAAGAAGAAAGTGATAATGATAAGAGCATCTCTAATATAATATTAAAATCGATGTGTGAATTATAAAAAATTCTTTCGAATGTAATGTTATTTATTTTATCAAATTTTTTATTAAATATTATATATGGTAAATTTGACATTTAATTCCTATTAGTTTATTTGTTGACTTTTTAATTTAATCATTGTAATTTTTGTATTTTCAAATTATTTAAAAAATTAAAAGTTTACTTTAAACTTTTAAAGTTTAGTGATTGTGGTAAAAAGTAGATTTAGCGTTTGAAATAGTATTATGCATTGAAGCACAGATAAAAATAACCTATCATATCACACTTTTAATGCCAACTATGAAATATACAATTAACATTAGCATTTACATTAAAAATAGTTTAAGAGGCAAAAACAAAAACTTCTTTTGTGTTTAATTGAAATATAGGTTTTTGTTATGCACTTTTTTAAACTATTGAGATTACCTTTATATTTTCATAATTATATGAAATTTTTTTCTCATGCATAAAAGAAAATGTGAATTTTATTTAAAAAATAACAATTTTTCAAGTATAAAAAATCTTTCAAACATTTGTGTGGAGTACAATTTCTAGTAGTCAATTTATTTTAGGCGTTAATGACCAATTCACATAATGATAGATGTTTGATCTGTTTGCCTAAGTCAATCTAGTGAATAAGCAATAAAATAAAATGTGGAAAATAAAAGAGACATTGAAAGTTATAGTGGGTCACCTGTAATGAGAGGGTTACGTCCACTATAATTGTTGTGTTTGCACTATTTATGAAGAAAATAGTACAATAAAACTTTGGTAAACCTTGTGAGAGAGAATAATGGAGGATAAAGTGAGAGTAGGGTAGCTCTAGGGGCGTATTGCGAAGATAAAGAACGAGTTGTGATACGATTGGGCATCTTGGAATGTCCTTTGTGCTGAAGGAAGGCTTCCTTTTATAGTTGTAAACTCTGGTTGCTCATTTAAGACTAGTTTACTTTTTTTTAATTGAGTTGACTTTCTCGATTGCATCTTTATTCAACTTTCTTTGTACAATCCATATATTCTAAGATTTGGACCACCTTTAGTGTGATTTGGTAGCTTCTCAAAAATAAAAGGTTATTTAGAATATTCTTGAGTTGACTATATCATATGATAATTCTTAATTTAATTGAAACGATCTTGTTTACGTGTTTTGTATAAGATGACTATGTATTTTTTAAATGTCCTCTTACAAATACTTTTACTTTTATTGACTCATTTGTTTAGTTTAATTGATAATGCAAGAGAATTTATAAACCCCTTAGAATAATAATGTGGTCCGAGTATTCTCAGCATATGCTTAATTAGGACTTGTCTCGATAAGGTCTTTGATGTGACTCGAAGTGTCTCATTTGCCTTGGCATCAAACATTATGAGGGCGATGACCCACACACATCCACGTGCATGCTCGATCGCCTTGCGGGTTTCGATTGGAGTAAAGAGACGCAAATTAAGATCATAATTTGGGTTTGGATTGCAAACTTTATCCACAAAGATCTCAATTGAATTAGTGATGGGAAGGATATTGTGTATGGAGCAAAAAGAAAGCTGTAACAACTTGTGATGATGTTGCTACGGTCATGACAAAAGTCTTCATCTTTTGTAGGAGACAAAAGAAGATAAAAAGGTTTTCAGGATCAGTACGTACTGGTAAGGTTTTTTCTTTTTCTTTTTTGATGGTTATGTTGGAGTAGAAATAGGTTCTATTTTATGCTTGAGTTTTAAGTTGCTTCCATAGGAAGGTTAAGACGTTGTGTTATCATGTCTCAAACTCTACTTGTTCTATGTACCACGTAAAAATTGCACAAACCCTTATACTGCCTAAGAGCATCTCCATCAATACCAGCTATTTTATGTTTCTAGCGAAAATAATTAATGATATGACTTTTCTTTTTCTTGTTTTGCTTCACTTCAACCGTTGGCCAAATACTTAGGATTTATTTATTTCACTGATTCGAGTTTTTAATTTCTGTTTCGCTACAGTTAAAAGCTTTACATAAAGTCACATCTCAACTCCAATTAAAAACTCAAATAAGCAAACTGAACGATGCCTTAATTAGCTATTTTGGAAGTTAAAGAATGCATTTTACACTAATCAAATTAGCTAACAAGGGCTAGTCATATAATTTTTATTATTTTACTCTTTGAAACAATTACTTTTTGAATTAGTGAGAGTTAATTTATTTCAAAGCGTAATAAATGAAACCGTTCTTTTTACAATTATATATATATTAAAATAATCTATATTTAGTTTAATTATAGAGTATAATTAGAGTGGTTTACTCAAAATTTATTAGCTAAAATAGCTTTCTAGCTATTTCAGCTAAAATATTTTAGAAAGTCCCTTCGGAATAAAACAAAAAAGGATATAAAAATATAATTGAGGATTTTCAAATCCATAAAGGGAGTTAAATATTCCTTTTTTATTATTTTTCTTTACATCGCTACATTTTTGTCCCCTCCTCTTTTGAACATATAGAATCCCCATCTTTATACTAGTGAGAAAGCACACAGAAAACTGTAGAGGGATATGTAAGTTCTATGCTGTGAGACCATCAAAAACTGCAGTTTTCTCTATTATCTTTTGAATTCTAAGTAGCTGTCGTTTTTAGAGTGTTGTAGATTTTCTAAGCGTTTTTATGGAAATTTGTACAACCTTTTGTTTTAACACAATACAATTAATATGCTACCGTTGCTTAGACGGATGCTTTTCAAATTGCTGTCGTTCTTTATATTTTACTGTCGTTTCTAATTTTTTTTTTTTTTTTTTCAAAAAAAGCTACAACGTTTTTATTTCCCTGTACATGCGGCTTTTGAAGCTGCTGTCATTTTAAGGTGATGGCTATGGCCGATTATGCTACGTCTATGATCAAATAACACAAGAATAAATTATAAATCTAGACAAATGAGTAGATTCATATGATTGCATATGGCTCCTTAGATAAATCTACATGTCGTTATTATGAAACATATGATTATATAAAGGAATTCAAGCATTTCACTTAATTTTTCGGCAGTCGCAATGCTTTTAGGAATTCAAGGAATCCTAAAAGTATTGCGAGAGAATTTCTCACATATAATCGTTACCCTTTCTATAATATCTTTTGCGCTCTAATTAGTTGTCGTTTTTAATGTGTCTTAAGCTTTTCTAAGACTATTATTCACTAATAATGCCGAATTTTAGGATTTTTCCTTTTTCTTAGATACAGGATAAGATGTTGCGTTTTTATTGAAATCTTATTCTTTTTACACAAATGTACCCTGATTTTCAACCGTTGTTTATTTCAAATAATAATAATTATAATAAAATTGACTATATATAGATTTTAGATGACATAAAAATGGTATGATCCTTAATTTAATGACATGTCATATTCTCATTGAGAGAGAGAAAGAGGTCAGGGATCAAAAGCACACTTATGCAAACAAGAGTGACATAGGTGGGGAAGTAATTGATAGATATATTACAATTTACAGGATGAACTTGGAAATTCAAACAAGATAAAAGGAGCAAACTTTAAATTCTTCATTCCAACGTAGGTTGTTACAAACTCAATAACTATTTGTTGTCTTTCCCCTTTTTTTTCCTTTGTTCTTTAACCGGAAAGAGCAACTAAAAACCATACATAATAATCCTTCAAAAAAAAAAAAAAAACCACACATAATTAAGCAAAGTAGTACTATTCCTTATTCTTGACTCGAGTTTAAGTTATTGGTTCACCTTCAGGGTTACACATGCACGAAAACCCAATAATATACCATACTATATAGTTTATCGCCCACATATATAATATGGTATATAGTGGAGTTAATCTTAGTTATCATTAGTTTTATTCTGTATGTGAAATAAATATATATATATATATATATATTAAGCGGCAGATGGTGCACTAGTGAGCTGCTGAATTCCAGTCTCTGCTAAAGCAGCAACAAAGGGTCCAAGCTTAGTAGCAACACAGTGATCCTCGTCCTCCACAATAATATTCTTAGTAGCATTCTCGTAGTCCAAGGATTTGTCCTCATATATTTCCCACCACTTCTTCACCAACATCTTTATGTCTTCTCTCTCCATGTTCTCTTCCTCTCCCGTGTACCTCCATGGCTTTGATCCCTACAGTTCATTATATCATTCAATACTAGTCACGAAAATATATTATTTGGACAATTCATGGCAGCATAAAAACTGCCCTACGAATCGTATAGAGTTTTCAAACGTTAATTATATATTTGTTTTTTGTTTTAATATGATTCTGATATATATTATATATATTATTCTAAACACGCAGTATTATACAAAATCTAATTCCCCAATGTATTTAAATTTGTATATATATGTATATTATATATATATATATATTTTTTTTTTTCATTTCACGTACCGCGGCACAATAGTGGACAACCTTGACCTTGTCAATGTCCACGTTCTCGGGGTGACGCCACAGCATGGCCAGAACGAGGTTGTAAACATTTGGAATAGGCTTGTACACATCCTTGAAGAACATGTTCAGAAAGTCCTACACATAAATATGTGCACCACATCATTATTTTTAACATTAACATATTAAAATTCATCTTATATTGATATAATTATTTGTTTTTAAGGTGTACTAGAAATTAAAGTGATTACTAAACGTAGAAAATGATTTATATTAATTAATTACCTGCTCGGCAAAGGAAGTGGGAAGGGTGACTTTGAGGGCTTCCAAGAGGTTAGAGTAAGTGACAAGGTTAGGCTCGAAGACGCACATGCCGGCGTTGAAGTACAACGGCGGCGGTGACCCCATCGTGGCGGGCCACTCCACCTTCTGGGGGCACTGCTGGCAGTAGCCAATCTTGTATTGAGGAGAGTGACTCCATGTCTTCTCACAAAAGCAATCCATCACAGCATAGAAGTAGCCATTTGGCGAGTCAAATAGGTGATCAATGTTGTCAAACACTTGTATGTCTCCATCCAAGTACACCATCTTCTCATACTCTTCAAACTACAATAATAATTAAAGCAGTTATAAAATTAATATATCACACACATATTATAGCTTATTTGTAATATATATACTTACGGATATATAACACGCTAAATACATACATATATACACACACACACACATATACAGAATTATAACTAAAATGATGAAAAAATAAATAAAATTTTCTTTTATCTAGCTACTTCATGAATTTTGGTATGGGAAGAAAGTGCATTAATGACTAATACTATAACTTATAATGGATAAAAGTGGAATATGTATCTAAAACAATGGACAAAATTGGGGATAAAAAGTTTCTTTAGAGTAAAGCATCTATTATTTTGGTGTGGGAAAAGCATGCAATTACTAATATTACTAGCATAAAGACTACAGTACCATGCATATAAGAGCGTGTGGGATAATAGAACGAACCTCCCAAATGCGAAGCTTAGAGTAGTTGATGACATAATATGCCATGGAAAATTTGGTTTCGTTTTCAGGCGGATAGACAGGCTCAATCTCCCGGACGATGCATCCTTGAGAGCGAAGAATGCGACGGTGGTCGTCGGGGACATCCGGTAGGACGGCGACCACGAGAGGGTAAGGAGTGTTGGTCTTGCGGAGGCCCTTGGCAAGGCCTACCACGCCTTTGATGTAGTCTCCATTGCCTGCAAGGAATGCCACGTATGCCCTCTTGGCCACACCCATGTTCATAATTTGATTGAAATTATTAGAAGAAGAAATTTATACTTATAATGAGACAATTCCTCAAAAAAAAAAAAAAAAAAGTAGATATAAAAAATAAGAGGACAAGTAGTACTTCTATATATTACTCTTGAATAAGGTCTTTGAAGGTTTTGATAGCATAGGAGGAGAGGAAATGCTTCTATTTATAGGCATAGACATGAACATATATTGGGAAAAGTACTGAATATTAGTGGATTTAATTTGTGCATCTAAAGATAAGTTGTACGTGGCATAAAAATGAGGTTTGGGAATTTTTTTCTTTTTCTTTTCGTGAAGCACTTTTGTTTTTGTATTTTTTTTATTTTTTATAATTAATGAAAAGCTAATTAACATAAGACTTGCATGTATCATGAGTTGATTCCTGCTAGTTTTATTGTATTTGATTGGTTGTAGACGTGAAACTTTGTCAACTTTTGAGATTCTGCGCGCTATTGTATTCATTATTAGGCCTTCTTTTTATTAAAAAGAGGGGTCGATCAAGAATCTACACAACCGACTAAGAATATTCTTATCCAAATTTATGTGTGTTCAATCTATTATAAGAACATAATTTCCATTTTTCAGTAATTATATCTGCATGCTTATTGCGTTTTTCCCCTTATTCAATATGTAGCCAATTTTGGAGGAGAAATTAAGTTACTAAGTGGACATTTGGTTTATGAATTTAAATTATGATTCAGAATCATTCTCGATTTATGTGTATTTTTTATAAAAGAAAATACTGTAACAAACCACGAACCATGATTCGAACCATGGCACGAATCCTCATACCAAACACTTATCCAATAATCAAATTACCAGCCGGCTTTCTTTGTTCATACCTTCGTCCTATACTCCTATCTAAATATAGTACTTAAGTATCCTTAAAAAAAAAAAAGAATAGAATCATTTTAGTACTGTCTATTATAGAAAAACATCTCGTTAATACTCTGTATTTTT